GTGACAGCACGGCATCTCTGCACAAGCTGAACACAAGCCTGGCTCAAACAGCGGCAGCCAGCAGCTCTGTGTTAGGTTCAGTTTAGCTCACCATGTTATTGGCACTGAAGGCCTGCGAGGCTCATGAACTCCTCTCATCCAGCGTCCTAATGAGGAGCTGTCCTGTTTGGCAGGACTGAAAGGGTGTCTGCTCCCTTGGATCGGTGTGTGTTTGTGCATCAGTCTGGAGTATACAATGAGTATAATCACTATTACAGTAAGAGCAGACAGTAAACTGTAGACTGGATCTGCACCACAAGGTTAAGATTCAAGGCTTAATACAATAGGATTAATGATGTTGTAACAATTAACAATAATGCTGACTCAACAGGTTGATTAGATACAATATCACCAGACAGGAAGAGGTAACTTTTCGAAATCTGAGCACATCAATTACCCAGAAATCATGTGAGTCGTCAGTATATGAAATATATTGTTCATAATGGCAGGTGAAGGAGGACGTGGACTTCAGTCACGCAAAGGTCTAGGTAACACAGTGGATATTAGAGATGTTCAGTATGTACAAATGAACTGACTACAGTTAATCACCACTGACACTGAATTAATTACTTCCTCATTAAAATCGGATTCAATGACAGAGAACGCCACAGAAACAATCTTAATCTGATCGTTCCATTGTAAATAGTCAGCTGCTGAGCTGTTAACCATATGTGCAGTTATTGCATTGGTTAGGTTTGTACTGAACTGAATGAAATGGCAACAGACTGAACCACTGAACTGAAGACGGTCAGAATCAGAATCTTATGAGTCTTATGAGCAGTGATGTGTGATATGATAGTGCTGTACCCACCTGAAGTGCCTCTGAACTACACGTCTGTGAGCTGACGTGAATGAAATGATTCGATGAAGCCATGAACCAAACGCAGGCTGTCTAACTTCATCCCAGCTCACTGTGAGACACAGCTGGTAACTGTAGTGACTCCCCTCTGTTCAGGAGACACTTTTGTATTGTCACTCAATACATCTGTGGCACTGAGAGGATTTTCTGTCACTTTACACTCAAATATACATTTTTGTAAAAACTCAAGGGTCACAGTGAAGGGATGCAGTTCTCTGTTGTGGTCACACTGGGTGATACAGGCTGATACAGTGGTGGTATTTCTACATAAAACGGTGCTCAGTGTCGTTTAAATACTTGGATAGTTCTGACATGTCATCACATCACACACCTTTTAACCCTGTGTGAGCCCAGCAGGTTCCTACTGGTTCCTCCACAAGCCTAGATTAAAAGCATTTAGTCCCAATTGGCTGCTCTCAAACAGAGCTCTGAGTTCACAGCGACCTGCCTGAGAGGCTTAGCCAAATCTCATCTTTCAAATTGAACTTCAAAACTCTTTTTTTAAAGACATAATCACTTAGTTTCACTTTACTTTCCTGATTCTTCAGCTACTTATCTCTTACTGTTGTTGATTTTATTCTGGTTCCTAAAAATCTTCTGTAAAGCGTTTCACAAAGCTTCTTTAAATTGTGGGATTTTTAAAATTGCTGAAAACTTTCTTGCTGTTGTTCTCTTTTTCTAATTACACACAAAACAAGCTCCTGTGGCACCTGCTCCTTCGCCAGTGTTAACAATCGTGATAGCAGCTTCCCAGCTTGTTGTCCAGCTCCTGTGTCTCGTGTGATGCTTTAAATGTGACAGAGACGGGTTGAAGTCAAGGTCACAGCTGACGGGTGTGAGGGTTAATGAAAAGAGGACGGCCAGAGACTGAGAGAGGAGTTCAGACGTTCTACAGTGACAGCTGATGCTTGTGCGCATCATTCTGAATCATTTGACCTGCTCTCGTTCAAGACTCCTGCATCATCGTTTGTACTGGAGCTCTGCAGACAGCACAGAGGGGAGGGCTGGTGACTCGCTGGGTTTATTTTGTCTAGTTGACACCATTTAGTGTAGGTTTTTCTTGTGTTGTGCCTTCTGAGAATGAACATTTCCAATGTGTGTGGCGCACTCCTTAAAGTTACAGTGAAATGCAGTTAGAGCATCTTTAGCTCCTGCAATGTGACATGTTTCCAAGTCAAACTGAATATGTGGAGGGAAGATTTGATTGGGATTGTTTAAAAGTGGTTTAGGAAATACAGTAGCTAATGAGACTGAGCTGTAGAGGACTGTCGGCCTCCACCCACACCTCCTCCACCCTCATTATTTCAGGTGGGAGGGAGGATAGAAATGAGCAAATTAGACTTTGGCCACATTTTCTGGAAATAAAATTTTTTGCCAAGTGACATCTGATAAAAACACAAACCTGGCAGCTAGTTGGCTCAATTCACATTTAACAGGATATGTTTATGTATGTTGCGATGAGAGGAAAAGAAGCCACCACTCTAACCACTTTACTGATCATTTTGTTCAGTTCAGGTTAATTAGCAGTCTCTGATTGTGTTGTTTGTTCACTTCTTTCCTTAAACTGCACTCAGCTGACACCTGAATATTTATGTGGCTTTGTGAGGAAATAATCACATCTGAGCCGACAGCGGATCATTCAGTCACTAGCGAGAGGAGCTCCACTGCTAAAGCTCCAAACACCACTAAGAAAAACACTAAATATCTAAATAACACTAAATAAAAAAGACCCTTGTTGTATTTTATATTTTACATTTTACTTTGTCTTTAAATCAGGAATCAGAGTCTTTAGTCCAAAAGATGACTCTTATGGGACACTGTAGCATACATAGCTAATGTTCGCTAGCATTAGGTAAAATCAGCCAGCTCCTGGTCATACCAGGACAGTTATCCATTAAACCATCCAAGTGGCTGCGCAGTGCTCGATATGAGGAAACATTATTCAGCTCTGAAATTCTACCGTGTATTTATACAACCACACCTGCTCAACTGATTTTCCTAAATAAATTCAGATATTCCTCCTAGAGATGCCAAGAGAGTGAAAATACCTCCTCGGCTGCTAGAAGAGTGCAGGTGATGGGAGTCAGAGCCAAGCTTGAGCAAAGACTGAGATGGGCCATCGCAAACATCTGATTTGAAATTCATCCACTGCTTCTGAAAATCCTCATGTGGATTTTTATGTAAATGCTCTTTTCTTCTCGCTGTTTCCTTCCGTGTTTATCAGGCACTTTAAAAAATGTGCTGAAATTAGTGAGATGAAACCTCCACTTGAGTTCAGCTGAAAAGGGGAAAGAGGAGGAAGGGAAGAATAGCTTTATATATTTTATATGTGACCTCTGACCTCTGACCTCTTAAATCGGAAAATCAGAAATTAAAACATTAAGTTTGTACACACCCACGTATTTTACTGCACCACCAAGCAATATATGGTTCATATCTTCTCTACTCATGTAGATGAATGTATGGTTTATCATGCACGTCAGTCTTAATGTCACATGATGAAGATGAATCTGATGCCTCATTTCCAAATACATTTATTATTATGTTCTCTAGATATTATTGTGTTAATTTTGGATAAATACAAACCACAAACTCCTTCTCTGATGCTTGACTTACTGGAGATGTTGGAGACAAAAATAATCTTACTCAGGATACTTTGATCACAACATAGTCCCTCACCAGAGACACAAATAGCACCCACACCTCCTCCCGGTGTGATCAGGAAGATTTTTTTTAAATCCCTTGTGAATCCTACAAATATTTTATAGCTGAAATGAGATCTAATATGGAAGAAGAATAAGTCTTTGAACTTGGATTAGCAACTCTCATCTCTGTTGTTGCATCAAAGGCCTTTGAGTATGTGAGAGCTGGTTGGAGCTAAAGGCTAAAACAGGAGAGAGAAAAAGGATGGAAGAGAAGGGAACAAAATGAATGTGAGAATGAAGGAAAATGGAGTCAAATGACAGAAACAATGCTTAGTGCATTTGTCTTGATTTCTCAATATTGCATTTGCATCTTCTAACTGCACCGAGACAATCACTCAGACATTATTGTCCGTCCACCCTTCCTGCTGCCGCTGACTGCTCACTTGTGTGCTGGTGGGTGGAGGTGTGATGTATGGCACCATCACTGCGTGGCACTGCTGCTGCCCCGCTGAACACCAGAGCACAATCAAGCAGATGAGAGTCAGCATGTTGCTGCGAATCCCAGTGGCATTTACTCTCTTTGATTCTGTGTGTAAACAGAAAAACAGATGGCCTCGCTGCCGAACAAGTTTCTCTTCCACTGACTCTCGTGACGGCACATGGGACACGAGGAGGAAGTTTCTTCAGCCAGTTTTATTTTTGCTGCCTTCCTGCTTCGCTCAAATCCACCAAAACTGCTTTGCCGTTTGAAATTCATCGGGATTCATGATTCAATCCGAGCTATGATGGAGAGATGGTCCCTGCTGTGGAATACAATGTGCTATAAATCAGATCCCACCCACATCGCTCAGCTGTTTGAATTATGCTCTCATACTTGGAACACTTTGATTTTAAATGTTAAGTTAGAAGAATATCATCTCTCCACTAAAGCTCAGTGTAATGCAAAATTATCTTTCCCCAAGCAAACACGTTTAAGATGTGAGTGATGCGGCTGAGGCGAACCCACACCGTGGTGTGTAGCGTCTTATTTTGGGAGCTGAGTGCAGCTGGCGGTGTTGCAGAGCGGCAGCAGCCTGTCAGGGGAGAACAGTTGGGAGCTGTTAGAGCAGAGAGAGCATGCCTCTGCTGCAGAAACATGGATTATAGATCAGCGTGTCGCGTCCTGACTCCCTTCACACAGAGCAGAGGCTGCCTCTAACATGTTCACTGTTTCACTTCGGTGTGTGCATGACTTCCCATGATGCTTTCTCTGGCAGGAATATGAGACATACTGTATTGTTGAAACTTGTTTTCTGATCACTGTGACTTTAAATGACCACAAACGAGCATTTTGTGGAAGAAATAAAAACAAAATCGAATGGGAGGAAAGTTTTTTTTACTCCCCTCTTCACATGTGGTGTTCTTCTCTCATCTTCAGAAACATGACGATCATATTTTTTTTTCTGTTGTCTTTGCAGAGACAAGCATCTGGAGCAACGACTGGAAACAGCAAACCATCTGCTGGCCAAGGTATTTTCTACCCATTATGCTCAAACCATGAAGAAAATACGCTGCAGTATTACCACTGTGCTGTTTTCATCACATAAGTTACAATGTAATAGAACAAAACTTGCTTTTGTAACAATGTACAACACAAGTCATCACCATTATTTTTGCACATGTATCATAGCTGAAGTAGTTTAGTAGAAAATGTAACATGAACATGTATTATAGCTGAAGTAGTTCTACTGATCAGTTAATTTCGCAGCTCATACTGATTTTAGATAATTACACATGACAGTAATTCAGTAAAAAAGAATGAAAACCTCTCAAACCCCGAGGGAAAGCAACGAACTGTAGCAAGAGATGTTTAAATGTAATATTACCATTGTACCTATTAATGAAACTCTAATTCTACACTTTTATACCTCACTGATTGTAATTTGAGTTTAATATAGTTTCTGGTAGTGGGGGAAGAAGTATTAAGATTTTTTACTGAAGTAAAATTAGCAATATTAAAATTTGATGAATACTCATTATAAGTAAAAGTCCTGCATTCCAAATCTTCAAAATCTCTGTATTTTACATGTTCATTATCAGTTTTATGATTTTTTTTCTTTGAATTTTTGCACATCCACAGTTGGATACATAACAGCTCAGTAATACTACCATAATATATCACAAATCTTCACAAAAAGCCGAGTAACTACAGCTATTAGCCCATGTGATATGCTCCACGGCAATGCTGACAGTCAGCCAGCTAGCAACAGCAACATTCGCTGAACACATATCGGTAACACCAAGTTAGCCAACGGTATCATGTCTACTACAATAGCCGGTCACTATTGAAAACAAACATGTAACATTATGAACCAAACAGTTACCGACACATGGAGGAGAAGAAAAGCCAGATCTAAGTCTAAGTTTTGAGGCCTTTTTAGACAAAAACGTGGTTTCTTCTTCTGTGGAGGAAATTCTGGAAGGTCGGTTTCACCTGAAAGCTGCCGACTGTCCCTGTGTGTTTATAAATGTGGGGAAGATAACCGGTTTAACAGGGGGGACTCACATGCACTAACATGCACACGTACGTGCACTAACACACTACGAGGCCGGCTACCAAAACAAGCAACAGAGAAGCTCAGATCGCAACACACACACAGAGGGGGTGTGGCTTCATTCTCTGCTCAGCACGCTGTGACTACACTATATCTTTACATAGAACATATTTTCTTGCTGCTATATTATTGTTTAAAATCTCATTTACAGAACCTTTGTTGAACAGTGTTGACTGTCTGACTTGACTATTATCTCTTATTTGCACAATCATACACTGATAGTAAAAAACCAGTGAAAGAAAGTAAAAAACAAAACAAACCCTATAGTAAGAATTTGCAGGAAGACCTACTTTACAAACTAGGCCACGTTATTGTTGGCATAATAATGTAATTCAAATCCCTTGAGTTGTAAACAGTAAAACTAAGCTCACAGTTCTCAGCAGGATCCATTGTATTTCATAAATGGTGTTAAGTGCAGAACCATCATCCTGCTTAAATTAGAGAAAACGAGAAAAAGTCTGTTTCTAATGAAGCTCAGAGCAGCGGGTCTCTTTGTTTTCATGACGTCAGCTCAGGCGAGACGGATGCAAATCACTTTCCTCTCCGGCTTTCAGAATGAACACATTCTTATGAAGCTTTGAGAAAAGCTGCCATTTTATCATGAATATACATGTAGCAGGTTGTTGTGCTACTACAGATACTATAAATCCATAAGGCGCTTTCTGCAGTCTACACATTTACTGAGTTCGGTTTCATGGCAGCATATGATACAATACACAGAGGGATCGCTCAATGTAATCTCCGCTCCTCACAGTCAACCCTCTCCTCACACAGTGGATGCAGCAGGTTAATCGGAGCCTCATTCACTGCAGAATGGCTCCACAGCCTCATTCAGCACATAAAGCAGCTCCTGTGTACCTGGAGACTATGTGTCACCTCTCGTCTCTCTCTCTGGGGCCGCTGATAACACTGTAAAGACCTAGACTGAAATGGATTTCTGTCCCAACTTCTGGGATGATGAAGTGTGTTGCAGCTCAGGCTCAGTCCAGAGGGAAACACCCCGGCAGTGATTGGGAGGAATTTTAGGCAGCTTAATTGAATTTGATGGAGGCGTGAATTGCATTCACTTGACATTTGTCCATTTTCATGCTCTTTTGTTCAGTCTCATTCCATTTTCTTTTCCCCACTTTCCATTGTTTTGGGTCTTTACTGAACTTTAACTCACTTTAATAGTGGCAGTATAGGAAATGTACTTTTTACATATATAGTAACATTGTTCAGCACATAAAAGAGAGAGATAGTGATATAACAACCGATGACTTATACTTTTAAGATATCAAAAAGGACACATTTTGCACACACCTACACACTGTCCCTCAATTAGTGTTGTGCAGAGGAAAATCCACATACTGTCATCTATACATGTCAGGAACCCTCCCGTCCAGTTCCTCTTCCCCCTGGCAGGTGGTCACTTCATCAGAGGCAGCGACTGATACATAAAGCCGTTGTCATTTCCTTGTCATTTATTTTGGCTGAGCCGTCTCTCTGTGCCATTGTGTTACAATTCTGTGGGTTTTTCATAGATCCAAATAAACTGTAATTATTTTTGTTTGTGCAGCTGCTCCAAGTTTCCCTCTTTCAGTGGCAGCTCCAGTAACAACTGACTGGCCCAGATCTTCACAAATGTGTTGCACAATAACACTTCAGATTACAGCCTGAAAATTATTCTCTCAATATTTTGTAAACACAGGGCACCAGTGAAATACTTACTGCGCACATACTGGTAGTTCCAAGGGAATAAATATGTAACAAATTTGCATCGAGGAGGGAGTTAGAGATAAATCACACATTTTTTTTTATTATTACATGAAACAAGCCCGATGTTTTGTTCCAGAGCAGCATTAGAGCAATAACAATGTAAACTATGTTAAGAAGAAGCATTCTGTATGTAAAAACTTTCCAGTATCATTTCCTTAAGTAAATTATTTTTATATACGTATATAATTACATTTTTTAAGTACAGTAAATTATATCATCCCTAATTTAATTATGATATCAACACTGTTACCCTGTTTTTCCTTCCTTGTTACTCACTGGCTGTACTCTGTAATCATTTCACTTCCTGATTTAAAATACACTTAAACACAAAGTTGGTTCCTCCTCCTTTCAACCATATCAACTTCTTCCCTTGTAGTTACGTTTTTGTCACTGTGCAGGTTTTTTGTCTGAGGTGAAACCAATAATCATCTTTTCCCTTCATTTGACCTGAACATTGTGATATTTAATCAGCTTCAAAAAATAATACATGTAAGTTCCAGCTGTCAATTTACATTTAATAGTGAATTAAAAATATTTAATCAAAAAATTTATTTATATTTGTTATAAGGAGAACAAAAAATGGAAGACTGAATACATTTTCATCAGAAATATTATGAAGGATACTTTTGATGACAGGGAGTAAATGTGTCCTTGAGTTTCCACTGAGTAAAACTTGTTCAGTTTTTACAGTCTCTGCTTGGCTGCACAGGTCAGCTGTTTGTAGTTTTGTTGCTCAGTGTTTTCTCGACTGGGCCTTCATCAATCACTGTCCACGTTGCCTTAAATCTCACAGAAACCAATTTAAACATGACCTTTAACGAATCTCTTATGGAAATAATCACATCATCCATTGTGGCAAATTTGATTCATTCATGCAGCAGCAGAACACGTTACTGAAAGTGTGATGTTCCAGGCTCATAAAGTCTGCTGCCCTCTGTGGTGTAAAGGGCGTCGACCCTGTAGAGCAGTTGTGACTGTAGAGCAAGACGCTGTGTGTGTATGTGTGTGTGTGTGTGTGTGTAGGGGAGACAGAGAGGTTTGTGTGGCTTCTGCGATCATGAAATATGAATTTGTTTTCATTGTCACGTGTGTCATTCAAGGGCTTCAAGGTCAACCAAAGGTTCCAGCCAAACGTAAGTAGGTCATTTGGAAAAGTCATTGTTTTTGCTGGAACACACACTTTGCACAGCAGGTCAGCACAATCCTGCACGGAGCACTGTACTGCATGACGACTGTGCTGCTTGAATAAACTACTGACCTTTGGTATTAATGAGTGAATGAGTAGCAATGTGTCTCAATACATCTCTTTTTCATTGAGACCTTCAGTTTCACCCTCCGTCTGCTTTCTGTGTGTGTGAGCAGCCAGCGCTGGCTTGACCTCAGTCTTCACTGTATACTCACTGTTCTGGCGCTTCAGCACTGATGGTGGCTGTATGTGATAATGTGTTTGTGATATTGAACCTTTAAATAAGCAGCATTTGTTTCTCTAGTGCAGTACGGGTAATATAATAAAAGTAGCTTGACAATACAGTCTGTTGCAGTTAATCTATAAATGGAGGGTCAGAGCAGTTTATCTTCTGTCATAAAAGACCAGAGCAGTTGCCTTGTTAGCATTGTTGCTTCACACGTGGGCTTCTGTCACTCCTTTAACACTGCAACAGCGTGAACTGCCTGTAAACCCTGCAATGAAATTTTATTGTCCTTGCACATTTTATGACTCCATTTATTTGTTCACTTATTTTTTAATATAAAATAATTGTTGTTTTATAGAGTTTACACTCTCTCTGAATATGTGATGCAGCATCCTGAGCTTTACTGTGAGATAAACTCAAGAATAAACATTAGGACGGAAATGTACAAGATTTGTAACTGAGTGGAATGAAAATAGAAGATCAGCATGAAATACTAACCATCAGTCGCCTAGGCTACCGCGCTTCCTCTGTTCACCACCATCATTACAACAGCTCAACAAGCAAGTTGTAAATCCCTCCATCAAGCAGGTTATGTTATTTGTCAGCAGGATTACACAAAAAGTACTAAACCGATATTCAGTGAACTTGGTGGAGTGATGGGTCATATGCCAGGGAACAACCCTTTACATTTTGGGGCAGGTCATTTGCTGTGATTTTTTTTTTTTTCTCTGAAGTCTGGTGTATGTTGTTTTACATTGACCTTGGCAGAGGTCTGCAGCCTCTGACCGCTCTTCTAGTTACAACTGTGATTTTTGTTGTTGTTGAAAGAACCGACATATCCAACATGGCAGCTAAACTCTAACATCAGCATGCTAACAATGCTGACATTGACGCTATTATTAGGTATATTGTTAATGTTATTGTTCTCCATCTTAGTTTAGCGTCTTAGCATGCTAATATTTAGCATTTCGTCATAAACAAGAGTATTGGTCACAATGAAATGTTGACTAAATGATGGTCCTAAAAATTACAAATGAGAAGACAGGATCACCAACATTATTACAATTTAGGATCGTAAATGTCTGCATCAAATTTCCTGGCAATCCATCCAGTAGTTGCTGAGGTATTTCTCAGTCTGGATTGAAATGACGGACCAAGAGATCATCAGACACAAAGGGAAGATGGAGTCGCCGCTTGAGGGACGTCAGCAACACAGCTTGAACTGTTGTGATCATCAGTAGCATAGAAAATAGTTTGAAGAAGACATTTATGAATCTCACTCCTGAAGATTTTCTCACCCACTCTCCCTCTCCTCTCCGTAGATGAAAAGAAGAACAACCTCCCGCAGGACTTCGACATCGACATGGAGGACCCTGAGACGGAGAAGGCTGCTGTTGCCATCCAGTCGCAGTTTAGGAAATTCCAGAAAAAGAAGCAGGATGTGAAGTCATAGAGCGAGCGCCGTCAGCTGCGTCTTCACCTGATGTGGGCCTGGTCTTGCATGTCAATCAAACTGCACCGTCATGAACTGAAAAGGAAGGGTGGGGGTGGGAATTCTGAGGGTGGAGGGTGGAGGTTGGAGGTTGGGTGGTCTGGGGGCTAAACGGTATCTTTGTGAGAGTCTGTGTATAATTTATAACTTATAATGACTTATATACAAAAATGGTACATTATCATAATCTGGGTGTATGTATTTAAATCTTTCCGATAATTTTGCTATTTCTGTTTTTTACTTCGATGACACTTGTGTATCTGCGGTAGAGCTTACCTAATAATAATCTTTCTTATGTCACCTGCAGTGTGTAACATACCCATGTAAACAAACTGATGTAAGCCTTCTTATGAAGTGTCAAACTGTTGTTTTCTTTAATTCAGGGCCAAGATAAAAAACCACAGCATCTTTGTGATTGACACTTAAATTCTTAGCGAGGCGTCATAATCACCAGATTTCGGGGCTCTGCTAGAGGTCTGTTGATGACATTTCCCAAAATGATCCCACACAGCTGCCAGTAGTTTCACACTGTGTGACTGTATGCTTTTAAAAACAAATCAACGTCTCTAATTTGTATTCGGACGTCAGAGAGTTCCCCTCCGTCATGTCTCTTCACCTGACGACATGAACCTCGCTGAGTTGTGTGTCTTTGTAGAGAATCTAGATGTTGTGCTCGTGTTTCTGTCCTTGTTCATGTTCCAGTGTGATTTAATCAATATCATTGTTCAATTGGCTCACACATGTATATTGTACAAGCACACACACTTATGCATGCGAGCTTGCACAGATGCACACACACACACACACACACACACACACACACATAAACACACTCATATGCATATACACTCATACAGAAACATAAATAAAGAGTTGTAAAGGAGAGGTGTTGAGTGACTTTCTATCATTTCACAGTGTTCAAGCTGCAGTGAGTCCTGTTATCCACCATATATATTTCAATAAGAGAGTTCAAATGAAAGTGAATAACAACATTATGTTGAGATAAGAGAGTTTTGGTGATTAGACTCCATTAATGTGAAGCGTCTTCATTTAGCATAGACCCATATGGAGATAGAGACAGGACAGGATCCCTCATAGTAGAAGCGAGTGATGGTGGTTGATGGAAGGTGTCCCCAGACATCATGGAGGTTACGGTGGTGATGGAACAGTAAGTCTGAAAGACAGACAAGCAGAATTGCAATTATACTGAAGAATGTCATCCTGTAATTGATTGGGCCAAGGAATGCAGGCAGAAAGATCATTGGTCAGATTTGGTGACGTCATGTGACAGGGTGGGTAAGAGAAATAGATCAGGAGTATTAAGCCAACGTTAACCCATAGAGGAAGAAGGCGGAGCATGAGGGAAGAGCTTCCTTATTGAACTTTCACCAAAGCTTTGTAGGATTAGAGTTTGTGCAGCAGTAAATCAGATTGAAATAGATTTGATGTTTAATACAAAAATCTGTTACGACTTATTAGAAAATAGGTCAAACAAGAGGCTGAATATGGATTCAGGATTAATTAACTGATATTTGAACTTCTCCCGGCAATGACCTTACAACGACCTCAATCACTTTGATGCAGTAGATCACCATATACTGTCATCAGTACAGTTAGATCCTAATGGACCAAACTGATGGCTTAGCAAACTGAGGACATCTCTGTGTTAGTGCAGGAAGTGCAGTAACAAGTCCTCATACCAATATACCTCATAACAGTGAGTGTGTCCTGAACTGTTGCCCCTATGGTTCCCTTTGTTATTACAGCATTGAAGTTATAGTGAAAGGCTGTGGTCATGGTTAACACACACCAGCTCTGTATATCTTGTGCTTACACACACCTCTCTTACACTTTGCTGCAGTATAAGAAAAGCAAATGATTCATGCTTTGCACATTTTTGCCTCAAACTGTCAAATCTCAGGTTTTCAGAGAATCCCCCAAGGAGCTGGAACAATTTTAACAAAGATACACTTTGACTTCGGCTTAGATCAAACTAACAGCAAGACTTCAGATAGATGTCTTAATGAACCTGTTACGGACGACTATTCTTACACAGGGCTAATTTGCACTTTTCTCCAGCAGAACATGTTCAACCTTTGGAAGAATTCAACAGTTACAAGAACATTTTACTAAGAAAATGCAAGAGTGTAACGGTATAAAACACTTCCAGCAGCAGAAAATGTCAGCGCAGTGGAGAGCTGTAGCAGAGCAGAGCTGCTGTGGCTTCTTAACGTGGCAGGATGCAGCTTTCTGTGAACTCATCAGTCAGTCAGTCAGACAGAAGAAAGCGACTGACAGTGGACTCACTGCTGTAGATTTCCTACAGGTTACTGCTCTCTCTAAAATCTCTTTAACCTCTCATTACTCACTCCACAACATCGTTAGCAAGCCACAGATTAGGAGCCATCTTTTCTTCCTTTTTGTCATTTGGTGTCACTGATTGTTACCATGGAAACATGGGTCTTAGCTAAGAGGGTGGGGTAGGGTGGCTAATTAAAATAAGTCAGTTTTCATGTTTGTTAAAACTCTCTAACTCGCAATAAACTAAGAGCAAATTGAACAACAGTCTAAAATATCTTTGTGGATCCAGCCACATACACACACACACACACACGAGTCTCTGCTCCCCGTCAGCTCTGGGGAATCAATAAATACATGAAATAAATAAAGGAAGGCATGAACAATGCCAGCTGCCAGCTGCAAATTGCTCAGGGAAGTACCGTGGCCCTTGCTCCGGTTTTGCATTGGAACATGCATCCATGTTTATTACTGTACATTTTCACAATCATTTCCCCAGCAGAGCCGGTGACAGCTTCACATTTCTCCAGCTGATCAGAGGGAAGAATTCAGTTCAGCCTGGACCTTATTTATGACAGCAGTTATTAACCACCAAGTGTGGCGGCCAGTAAATCTCTGTCACCATGCTTAATTTGTTGTGGACTTCAGAGGAAGATGGCTGATGTAGTTGTCATGCTGGGTAATACGACCTCCTGCTAAACCCCCGTCTTGTGATATAAAACCATGGAGGCAATTTAACAGGCAGGACATGTGAGGCTCAGGCAGAAGCTTCAGAATGGCAGCTCGGAAGGTCTTCAATTAATAAACCAGTTCAGGGAGGAAGTTCTTTATAAAGCTTAAAATTATATGAATACACACTTTACACCTGTGGAAAGATTTAGAATGAATCTTTATGAGCTGCTGGAGTCACTTATAGAGGTGACATTTTAAATCCTCATCGGCTTCATTAAAGAAGAGATTCGCCCTCAGACAGTCTTAAACTAATGGATTTAATCAACCTGTTCAGCACATTTTGTAAATCATGGTTGTAATTCACTTTTACCCACTGTGGTATATAAAAGACAAGTATGTGAAAATACTAAACCAGACAAGACTATTCTTACACCACTTGTGCTGTATTGCAGTGCTGTGTTGTGCTCTGGCGTCACCTAAAGGAGGCGCTAAGATGTTTTGGGCTGCTGCTCAAGTGAAGACATGCTGTCCTGGCTCCTATAAAGTAGCCATCAATGTTCATCAGCTTCTCCATCTATTGTTTTTCTATTTTTCGTCTAAGATACATTCCCGACAATATTCTGTGAGATACAACACCCACTGTCACTCAGCCCTGCTCTGTCATTGCCTACATTTCCCAGAACGCTCTTTGAAAGCTACCGCATAAAGGGCAGTGATCAAGGCCTGTCGCTATGCAACAAAGTATTTCATACCAACAGGAAATGCTGCCACTTCAACTTAACAAAAGATTTTTCAAAAAAGTTAGAATCATTATTTTTTTCTTAGGATTCATCACTATCCACTATTAGTTTTAACAACCTGGAGAGGCTCCTCCACTTCCTGTTTGCACTTCATATCCATCAGCAGCACACTCAAAAATCTGACTGTTTGAAGTGTACTTTATTTTGTCTCTGTTCCACAGAGAACACACTGCAGAATTAGCATGTTGTATGGATTTGACACACACCGGTTCAATTAATAATAAAGCCCCATGTAATACAACGCGTCTCTAGTTCCATTGTATTCTGGTGTTTTGAGGCTTTGGTGGTGGTGAAACTAATTTCTCAGCTTCTTCTTTTGCCGTTTCTTCTGACACAAAAATTACTTGAAGTTAAGACTCCTGATCCAGGCGACTTCTAACCTTGTAAAATACTTGTAATAGGTGAAATGGTGTCTTAACCTATTCATTTTCCAATTTCTTCAAGTTTACAGCGGGCTGGAGAAATTATTAGTGGCAAGAAAAACCACCACCAAATAAGAGAAAAGGTCCAGAAATGCAAGATGAATCAACGTTAAAGGTTTCTGTGTAAATGAAGCTTTAGACCATAAAATGCTTGGGTCCTATAAAGATGTCAGGTTAATCTGGTCGTAACAGAGAGGCAGATTCCAATTTGCACTCGAACAGAAATTTAAGTCTCCACACAGCAGGCTGGTGTTGGCTGCAAGGGCCTGAGATGAAAGTTAAAGGAGGAGGATGGATTAGAGAGCGACACAACTCTTTACAACACCGCCACCTGCAGGCGGGACAGCTACACAGTCACAGAGGGTGAACACTCAATGATCCGAACGACCAACATCAGAAATGGCCGAGACACTGCCGACAACCTTCAGGGCGTCTCTCACCGCGATCACGGAGAATCTAGGGCGAGGTGCTCTGGGTCTCCTGACGACATTCAAGACCCAACGAACAGCCAGAGCGCAGACACCTGCTCTCCGCGCCTCCCCTTCACCTCCACAACATCATCAGTCACTCATGTCAAACCCGTGGAGGACACTTTGGGGAACAGCCATTTTATTAATCAAATTTGAACTTTGTGTTAGTTTCTCTTTATTCCAGTGCCACCATGGTGAACACTCATGTTAAAAATAAAAAGTGACATTTTTTTTTTCTTGTTAAAATGTATAATCATAATGAAGACAGTTAATCATAGAAACTAATCATAGAAACTGACATAATGACCTCACAGCATTTTGGATCAAACTTTTCTCCCTTCAGGCTAACTCAAA